CGATGGTAACTGAAATTCATGCATATGGGAACAGCACAGCGTCAGGACTGCTTGTGTTGTCTACTTAAACTGGAATGTTAGAATTCCTTTCCAGTTTCTGAGATTGGAGTGAAGTGAATGAATTGTCACAAAACAAAGAAAATGCCTCAGCATCTTCTTTAGCTTGTTTGTGGATGTTATTTTCTACGTATCTGAGTCAAAATTTTTTATGTGTTTGTAAGCTATTTACAGTTCTTCTATTCTGCCTATTACTATTTTGTACAGTATATAGCATTTAGAAAGATTAAGACAATACTAATACATGTTATACTTTTACTATCTACATCTTTAAAGCAGGACATAGTATTAAAAAAACTTTTGTCTTGAAATAATTAAAGATTGTCAGTCTATAAGGAATTGTAAAGGATGGAACAAAGTGGTCTTGTGTGTTTTCACCAAAGGTTAGTCCTTATATAACTGTAGAACAACATCAAACCCTGCATAATAGGGTAACGGGAATGGGTTATTTTTTTGTTTTTTGTTTTTTGTTTTTTTGGCAGTACTGGGGGATTGAGCCCAGGACCTTCACACTGAGCTATGGGGGACCAAGGGGTCTTCTTTATGGTTGTTTTAAAAATTTTGATATATGTTCTTGCTACATAGCCCTAAAAGGACTTGAGTTTACAATCTTCCTGCCTCAGCCTCCCAGAGTGCTGGGATTACAGGCACAGGGTTCCACACCTGGCAGGTCTGTCATTTTCATCACATTTGTAGATGGATGTAACCACTGCTACAACGAAGATGCCGAACTTTTCTCCCACCACAAAGCTCACCCTTTATAGTTACACTCAACTTCTCTGCCATCCCCAACCTCTGGTGACCAATTAATCTGTAATTTTGTCTTTCCAAAAATGACCAGAAGTTTGTTCCTTTTTATCACTTAGTAATAAGTATTCTGTGGTTAGTGTTGTTTATTAAAAGTTTGTATACATCATATCATGTTAGTTTACCCTTTTGCAGCTATTAAAAACTCAATATTATATTTTTGAGATGGATTCATAAAGATACCTATTTCATAAATAGCATCCAGTGTCAGTTTTAAACATTCAGTCTCTAAATTTTTGAACTAGTGATTTATACTTGACAAAACCCAAATATTTTTATTGAGTTATATACCTTGCATTTAATTTTCTACTTACTTTTCTCCTGCTTCTTGTTTCTCTTCTGCTTTTACTGTGATGACTGGATTTTAAATTTTCTTTATATAAATTATACATTTTTCTGTCTTTTAAATAGATACCTCAAAAATTTATCGTGCATAGTCGTCTTTAAAAATCTTACATTAATAAACAGCTTTACATTTCTTGTTTAAAAAACCTTTTAGACCTGGGTGTAGTGATACATGTCTGTAACCCCAGCACTAGGGAGGCAGAGGTGGGAGACTTCAAGTGCAAAACCAACCTGGGAACACAGGAGGACCCTGTCTCCAAACCAAACCAAACCAACAGACAACACAACCACAACATTTTAAAATATATTCGACTCTTCCTTCAAATTTTTATGTATTTTATTCCCATCATTGGTTTTATCTACTGTAGGTCAATGGCTTTGTTTCTATTAGTCATTACTCTCATTGCCTGTATTAATTTACACCCACCAATTGCTTGGTACTCCATTGTTTCCTGAGTTCACTATCCTTCATATAAAGTTCATATATTACTGAATGTTTTGTGAGTGGCAAAAAGTTATCACAATCTGAATGAAAACTTTTCTGAATACCAACTTTTCTCTTAAATATTTTAAGAGAAATATTTAAAAATATTTTTAATCATGAAAATTTTCCTTTTCCTTTCTTTGTGCATTGAAGAATTAATTAATTTTATTTATTTATTTATTTTGGGTCTGGGGATTGAACTCGGGACCTTGAGCTTGCGAGCCAGGCGGTGGAACCACTGAGCTAAATCCCCAGCCCTTAAAAAGTTTATATTTAAGTTGAGGACTACAAAGCCAAATTCCTGATCTTGAAAAACTAGCTATTTATAATACATTTTCAAGTGATGAGCTCTTCTTAGTTTAACTGTAATGTAATAGGCTGCCTTCCATTCACTTTCATGAATCCTTTTCCCTTGGTGGTTTAGAGACCACCTTTAGGCCAATATGAACATCCCATAGACACATGGCCATTTTCTAACCAGTTAGGTCAATGTCTGTGACACAGTCTCACATCTTTCAGCATGAACAGTGTGAAGAGTGAGGGAAGCCACATCTAACTGGGTACAATGAGAATCTGCTCTAAATGCTTATTTCTCTGGGGTGAGGATACCACACCCCTATTTGATTAAGAAAACCACTTTTCCAATTCAGAGGAGTTTTTTTCATTTTGAAGCAGTGCTGAGTACTGAACCCAGGGCCTAGAACAGCTGAGCCACTGGTCAAGCGCCCGCTGGCAGAGGCTCACCCCAGCCTGGGCCATGGATTCTTAGGCACCAGGTTCCTGCCTGCTGGCTTGCTAAGTGTGCCTCTCCAGGCTACCTTTCTATCTGGCTTCCTTCTTTTTCTGATCATTTTCCTTGATGTGTTTCAGGAAGCTGTATCAGCTCTTCAATACATACACCAGTTCTCTTGGCAAGTATCTTTCTTTTTTTGGTACCAGGGATCAAACTCAGGACCTTCCGCTTGCGAGGCAGGCGGCGGCACCACTGACCTAAATCCCCAGCCCCTTTAATTGTTATTTTTAAAAATCAAATTAAATTGTTTTAAAAACAGGGTCTCTTTATGTAGTTTAGTCTGGCCTTGAACTGAGTGATCTCCCTGCCTCAGCCCTCTGACAGCTGGAATTAGAGGCATGTGCCACCTTACCTGGCTAGAGCAGTTGTTTTAAACATGACTCACTTATTGGATTTCTTTGATTGCTGCTTATTCTTCCTGTATTGCCTATAACTTGTTTATCCTACCTTTAATTGATACTTGAATTGTTAACAGAATTCTAAATTACCAGATATTTTTCTGGAAAACTATTTTCTGGCTTCTACTTTTTTTTTTCTTTTGGTACTGGGTATCGAACTGGGGTCCTTGTGCTTGCGGAGCAGGTGGCGAAACCACTGAGCTAAATCCCCGGCCCTGGCTTCTACTTTTGACGGCTAGAAATTCAATTTGACAGTCTGATTATTTTTCCTTTGCAGATAATATCTTTTCTTTGTAGCTGCTTTTAATATTTTCCTTCTGTTTGGTATTCTACAGTTCCAGAAAGAAGTACTTTACAGTAGATTCACACTTGTTGTTGTCTTGGCTCTTTGTGATTATGTTAATAATTCTTATCACTCATTAATTATAAAAATTATTAAACAGCATTATATTGAATATGTTTTAATTTGTGTTATTATCTCTTTATAGAACTCTTATATCCTGCATGTTGGTTTTTTTCTTTGTATTTTTCATGTTTCATTTGTTATTTTTCACATTTCTCAGGTTTTCACTTTTCTTACTACATTATCCCTGGATAGTACCTCACATCTGTCTTCTAGTTCTCTAATCCAAACCTATTTCTATTCATTTTTCTATGTCTTGATATCTTTATAATGTTGTGCTCTTTCCTCAACAGTTTTTGTTTTTTAATTGCTCTTCCTTTCCTATCATACTGCGGATCAAACCCAAGGCCACTGTACCACTGAGCTACATCCCTAGCCCTTATTTTTATTTTTTGTTTTGAAACACGGTCTCATATAAGTTGCCCAAGCTGGGCTCGAACTTGTGATGCTCCTACCTGAGCTTCCCAAAGTGCTGAGATTACACATAGGCACCACTGTGCTTGGCTTTTTGGGTCCCTTTAGTAACTTAAAATACGTTTGTTTTTAGTTTCAAATTGTCTTATCTCAAATCCCTGGTTTGATTGTTCTTGTTTGTTATAGTGTCATTTATGTTGGGGTAGCTTTTCTTTTCTTTTCTTTTGGTACTGGGGATTGAATTCAGGACCTTGCACTTTCAAGGCAGGCATGGTGCCACTGAGCTAAATCCCCGGCCAGAGTAGCTTTTCTTTTGAAGGTAAGCTTTACTGATGTGTGTGTGTGTGTGTGTGTGTGTGTGTGTGTGTCTCAGGCTAAAGAATAATGTTGAAGAAAAGTAGCTAGCAACCTAAAATTATATAATATTAATGCAGAGTAGTTCTGCATTTTTCAAAAATGTAATAGTTGAGGATAAACTTTATGCTACCATTTTTGGCTTACAGACACCTATGTCATGAACTAATACAGGCTAAGCCTTGATTTCCTTGAATGAATTTTTATTTTGTAAACCTTAAGGAACTGTTGGAAGGACAGTTTGCTTTAGTGTTTTTTGACCTGTAGGATGGAGTACTTGTCTTCCCCTTAATGGAGCAGCCTTTTAATGAGTTGCTAACTCCGATGAAATGGTGTCTTTCTACTACTTCTCAGAGCTGGAGTTCAAGGCCACTTCTCTTTCCCTGCATGGAGATGAAAACCATAACCTCTTGGCTGTAGTTCATATGTATAACTCGCCCACAACTCTCTGATGGTTGAGTTTGTTTTGTAAGCTGCCTGCTCTGGCTCTTCTTTAGCACTTTGATGTTTCTTCTCATTCATTTAACACCAACTGTATCTTTAAATCTTTAGCTGTCATATTTGTACTTAGCATTTTAATACAATTTTAAATTCAGTTTTTTTTTTTTTAAGTGTGTGTGTGTGTGTATATGCAGGTCACCATGTTGCAAAATCTGCCAAATCTCAGTTCTCTGTGTGTAGAAACTGAGATGGTCATTTTTTTTACTGAGATGCTTGGCTTTTCAGAATAAAAAATTCAAGGGGTAATACTAAATTTTGTTTCATAACTAGTACACAGTGAGAAAAGGAGGAAATATAAAAAATAGGGAGAATCAAGGGCGATAGATGTTAAGCTGATATGTTGCAATCTCAGAAATACTACAGAAATGTAGTATTCTAATTCCTATAAATTGGTAAGTGAATAAATTATATGTCCCTACTGAAGGTGATTCTTAATTTTTCTAATTGAAGCTGGGCTGGGAGATATAACTTTAACTTCAACCACATTTTTTCCTTTGAGTAGGTGATGCTTTATTTTTGGTGTCAGACGTGTGTGGTCTGGTAGAAAGAAATACTTTTACTTTTCACTTCCTGTGGAGGGACAGGTGCATTAAGGAGGGATGTGAAAGTCTTCTTATCTGAGGAAAATTAAAATCAGACTACAAAAGTCTCATCAAATAAGAATTTTTTTAGACTTTATCACTACATAATAGGATGATTCTATAAAAAATAAAACGAATCCAGTCTCATAATAACCATGCTGAAGAAATCAGACCATTTTTGAAAAACATAATATAGAAATATTTACCATCAAGAAAAATCTCCCAAGTTTTCAGAAAGCATCAGTGAGCGGGCCCAACTCCCCCAGTGAGACCCGTCGGGAGCGGGCCTTCGACGCCAACACCATGTCCTCTGCCGAGAATATCCTCTGCCAGTTCTGTGACCAGGATCCTGCCCAGGATGCTGTGAAGACCTGTGTCACTTGCAAGGTGTCCTACTGTGACGAGTGCCTAAAAGCCATTCACCTGAACAAGAAGCCTTTTACAGGCCTTCGTCTGATTGAGCCAATCCCGGACTTGCACATCCTGGGGCTGCTGTGCCTGGAGCATGAGGATGAGAAGGTGAATACTTACTGCGTGACCGATGACCAGTTAATAATCTGTGCCTTGTATAAACTGGTTGGGCGGCACCGCGATCATCAGGTGGCAGCTTTGAGTAAGCGCTATGACAAATTGAAGCAAAATTTAGAGAGTAACCTCACCAATCTTATTAAGAGGAACATGGAACTGTAGACCCTTTTGGCTAAGCTCATCCAAACCTATCAACATGTTGAAGTCAATGCTTCATGTCAAGAAGCCACATTGACAGACAAGTGTGATCTTCTCATTGAGATCATTCAACAAAGACGACAAATTATTGGAACCAAGATAAAAGAAGGAAAGGTATGATTTCTAGGACAGAAGATTTTGTACTCTTTACTGCAGAAAATATACCCCCATAATTCAGTGGCTTTGTAAATTGTGAGCATCTTTTTTTCCTTCACTTTCCATAATTCCCTCTGAAGTCTTTGTCTTATTCCATTTTGTGTTGTTATAATAGGATGCTTAGTATGTCTATTATGGCCATTATATTCTACCTCACTTGGCTGTGAGAAAGTGGGTTCATTTCATACTTACTGCTACATCTTAGCAATTATCACAGCATTAAATAAATTAAAAGTGAACCAGAATTTAAATATTGAAATTATAAAGTACTTCCTATGCCTTGGGAGAATTAAGACAGATATAACTTCATACTGCAAAATATCTTTATTTTCATTGTATCTTATACTGCTTTGTAGACATGTTAACAGTGCTTCTTTTCTACTGCTTGTATCTTTTCATTTTTATGACTTTACAGTAAGCCATATTCAAAAACGCAATTTATATTCTTTGTAAACACTCTCTTATGTATTCAAAAACATTGGTAACTTTACAGTGTATTACCAGCCTCGGACTAGTGTCACAGCTTTTAGCAAACAAACTTCAGGATACGGAATTCTGGGACAGGTCAGTAGTTGGATTGAGACCTACACGATACTCTTTCTGACAATCCACAAAAGAAGAATCTCAGAAACACAGAGACAAGATCAGATTTCTGAATGCTGACACTGAGGGCCAGGAAAAAGCAACTGTGAGACTGTTAGATAGGGTAGACTGAACAAGGGGGAAAGAGAGGACATGACATCTTCCCTTCAAAACTGAAACTCTAAGCTCAATTCCAAAGCAAATAAAGAAATCTGGAATTCCTAAAAGTATAGCCAACAAAATCAGCAGACCACATTACCTCAGAGATGAAATTATTTTTGTGAAAAAAATGAAGAAAAAACTTAAAGGAAACAGTCTTAAAAATATTCAAAGAGATAAATGAAGGAATGATTTTGATTTTGAAAGAAAAAATGTGAAAAGATGAAAGAAACCAAATAAAAATAGAAAGAAATAAATGAGCAGTTTTGAAAGTAAACATAGACACTTATAAAGGGAACAGATGCAAAAGAAATTTGGAAACTGAGTTTTGGCCTCTGCCTGTGAAATTTCATAAGTACAGGAAGACACAAAAAAGTCAATGACGTTAAAGCTCAGCAAATGTCCATTGGGTTTGAACTCAATGATTAGGAAAGAATATATGAAAATCTATACATGGAATATTCTAAAAATAATCATGTTTAGTTGGAAGGGATGTATCAGCAAATTTTACAAAGGTTGAATACCAAATAACTCTTCCTCTAAGACCATATATTATATCTAACTTGATATTATCCCTAATAAGAGTAATAGTTTTTAATATTTGGAAACTTTAAAATGTGTTCTTATAAAAAATACACTTTAAAAATAATTTGCTTAAAGTTAGAAATTTACCACAATGAAAGATCTACATCTAAGCAGCAAAAAATTATTTGAAGGCAAATTGATAACATTCAATTCCTTAAAAAATGATAAGAAAATATATTAAAGGAAGACAATAGATTTTAAGTACAGTTAGAGAAAGCATAAGCAAATAAAGTCAATCACAGTAGAAGAATGAAAATAATAAACATAGGAGAAGTAAATGAAAATAAAAAGGAAAGCAAAATCTGTGTCAGCAATGAAGAGCTCAGAGCCTAACATTAAAACAATTATGAATAAAAATGAATTTCCCTCAGTTTTAAAAGGTTAAAAAAAGAAAAACAGAAATATATGTAGGACAGAGACACTGTGTAGTCTCCCAAAACTAAAATATTGACTATCTGGCCCTTACAGTAAAAGCTTGCCAATCCATAGTAAGAGGATTCATATTTGTAAAAAATAATTCATGAGATAAAGCTGTATTAGCACTAAGGAAAAAAGATTGGAGGGGGGTAAAAATCTAGTTTAAACACAATACAGTTTTTTTAAACAGAAGAAAATCGTATTGATTTTTATGCCAACAATTTGAAAACTTAAGTAAATAAGTAGTAGAAAACCTAATTAAGCCAAAAATTAAAAAGCAAAGGATATTTAATCATTAATTGAACATCTCCTTCAACTCACATTCCCCAAGCCCCACAAAATAACACCAGCCTCTAGTTCAAGCAATTGATAATCTCATTCTTACATAAACTGTTTCAGAAGGGAGGGCAGGGGAATGGGAAAAATAAGAATCAAGATGTATCATGTACAGGTACAAACTTTCAATGATGAATATGATTATAAGGTATACCTAAATGTACCAATAAACTTAATAAAAAATTAAAAAAGAAAAAAAGAAAAATCTCTAAACTTTTTATTTGAGAGCAAGATACTGAAGTTAAAAGTTTAAGAGCATCTATTTTTAAAATAACAAACATACAGTTTGAATCCTAGCTCAGCTATGTATTAGCTCTGTTGCTTTTTAGCAAATTATTTAATTCTCTGAATCCCAGTTTGCTTGTGTATAAAATGACAGTAATAATAGCAAATACTCATGATTCTAGTGATATTAGGAAAAAGCCACAAAATATACTCTGTAAAGCACTTATTACAGTCCTTGTACACAATGACCACTAATCTACAGTAACAACACTTAGAAAACATGTTGATTTCTAGAACCACTAGAATAAAACAAGCTCCAGAAGGCTGGGAGTGTCACAAACCAATCCTTCTGCTAACTACTTACAATTCTATGATTTCTCAGATGAAAAAATGGGGGAAATAATATTCTCATAGCTTGAAAAAATAGCGGTGAGGATGCTTATATTATGTGGGGCCTCAGTTTTAAGAATGCTAAGCACTGTTTGGGAATATTACTCTTTGTGAATTAGCCCCTGCACTTGCTGTATGTTAAAGTGCTTGCTCTAGTAGAAACACTTTTACCTAGGAATGAACATGTCCTCATACAAAAAGTATTGAAGCAATAGTAAATCTTTCTGACCTTTGATCAAAATTCTCAAGTCCAGATAATTTCTGTAATGATTAGAAAGTGTTTTCTCTATGGGTGAAATATTTTAATTCCTTGCTTTTAATTTGTCTATTCATTTTTCTTTCCTAGGCAACTTTGCATCTTCTATGCTAAGCTTGGGAAAAACTTATAATTATTCTATTCTTTTGAAAAGTTACTGGTTACACCAAATCACCTGAGTTCCATCTCTTGGGAACAATGACAAATGGTTACTGGCAGTGCAAAGATCAAGTGCTGAGAGTTCAAGGTCAGCTTTTCTACATGACACCTAAAGGGACAGTCATTTCTCAGGGTCTCCAGGCAAATGCAGGGTGGCGACATAGTGTACCCATCACTAAGGTGCCATGTCTGGCATCTAAATGGAGCTCTAATCCCAATGGAGCCAAGTTATTAGAGATCTAATTGCCATTGTCTAATAACTTCTTTTGAGGTCTTTGTATATTGGTTAACTTAAATATTCAATGTATCTAGCTAGAAACAGCTATTAAAACTACAATTGTTTCATAAATTTTTATTTTTCAATCCCCATACTGTCTTGTGAATTAATAAACAGCATTCAGATAAAATAAGAATATTCATCAATAATGCAAGATCTTCTGTCACTGGGGAGGGACCCCAGTACATTGTTGATTTTCCCCAGAAACTCTAGGGAAATAATGTATCTTCTGTAATGCACTTCTGTCTTGGATATAGATCATGCTGGAGAATTTTTACTTTGAGCAAAAATGTTTTTATTCATATGTTCTTTCCAATAGAGTTTTATTTGAACTCATCATCATCCTAAGTTTATTTCAAGTTATTACTTTTTGGCCTGTCTTTCCAGAGCTAGCTATGAATACACAGTGGACTTTAAAATGGCACAGCTTTTTATTTAAAATGAGCCATGATGGTCTTGTCCCCAGCTAAAGGAGTGTAACATAGCCTTCCTAAGGGATTTAAATGTTCCTCAAAGAATGGATCCTGAGTCAACAAGCAGAAAAATACAGAAATTTTCCTCAAGGGTTTAATGTTTCCTTAAGTGACCGATTGACAGCTGCGGATTTGCCCAGTGACATTGTCCTTTGAGAGACCCGACAATCTTTCCCAGGTTCTCTGAAGCCTCTTTGGTGTCACACGGGGACAAACCCCCGTGATACTGCCAGGCCCCTCTCTGTCCAAAGGCTATGACCTGGACCAATTCATTGCAGTGCAGTTTAATTAAACTGCACCAGAGTTGTTTCCCTGGTAAAATAAGTGTGGGAAGAGAATGTGTGTCAAAAGGGACATGCCCCCGACTGTGTGCACTTTATTGTTACACCACAGCTAATATATTGTGGGAATTCCATGGAGTCCATGATAAACTGTATTATCGAACTCCATAAAATAGGCATTCCACTAGTGCAGGTTACTGTAGCTCAAAATTCTATTAATCCTTCTAATTTATTATATTATAGCTGTATGTGAGGTCTTATAAATTTGTTATACTTCTTTCATCTAAAAAAACCTGCACTCTTGTTTCTCCTCTCAAATAAAACTTCTTATTATTTGCTGTGTCTGTCTCTAAAAATGTAATAGCCACTTGTAAGTAAATATAATTACTGTCTGAGAAATGTAAACTGCATTTGACATGTCTTCTACTCTAAAATTTAAAGATTCTATTAAACCTTGTTGTATGAGTATAAATCCTGGTGCATGAAGACTCTGGATTTTTATTTCCAGTTCTAGCAATAAGTTTCCATAAATGACATCTTTAGAATTTTCGTCATTTTCGTGTATGACAAAATAACTTACTTATAGTATTCTTTCCTCTTTATCAGCTAAAAAGGAGGCCAATAGGAGGGCAGAGATAACACCTGCTTTGGTCATATTTGTATTTCTAATGCCAAGTACAATGCTTGACATATATTAGAGGCTCAACAAATCTATGTTAAAAAATTGGAGGGTGAATGCATTAAAAATACTATTATTTTCCTAAATTAGCCTTCACATAATTTTTATTTGTATATTGATTAGCATAT